CTGAGCTAAATCCCCAGCTCCACCAAACACAATTTCTGTGAGATGGCCAGGATTCTACATTTGCTCTCTTCCTTACTGTTTCATCACTCTCCAGCCCGCTGTAAACTGCCTTCTCCTCCTCTGAAACTTCCTTGGCAAAGATCACTACTGACACCCTCACTGCAGAATCAAGGTGTTGCTGTTCAATTTCATTTTTTTTTAAAATTTTGAGACAGGGTCTCACTACTAGTCTAGGCTGGCCTTGAACTCACTATATATCCCAGGCTGGCCTCAAACTTTGTGATCCTCCCGCCTCAGCTTCCTGAGTGCTGGGATTATAGCTATGTACCACAATGGCCGGTTGAGAATTGATTTTAATAATCCCTGGTTAACCTCTTTTATTTCCTTTCCCATTATGTCACCAGTTTCCCTCGGACATTTTTGAGCACTTCTGGAACTCATCCTGTTACCATCTCCCCACAAGCCAGTGAATCACTAAGCCCTGTTGATTCTATGCATTTCCGAATCCTACCTTCTTCTCTATCCCCATGACCACTGTCTTTAAACATTGCTCTTCTTGGGCAAAAGCACAGGTTTATTGATTTATTTTGTAGTGCCAGGCAAGTACCTACCACTGAGCTATACCCCCACCCCAGGCTTCCCTCCCCCCGCCCCCGACAGGGTCTCACTATATTTAGGCTGGCCTTGAACTCACTCTGTAGTCCAAGGCTGGCCTCAAACTCTTGTCAGTCCTCTTGCCTCAGCCTCCTGAGTGCTGGGATTACAGATGTGAGCCACCATGCCCAGTTTTCCAGGCTTATTCTTTTCTTTTCTTTTTCTTTTTCTTTTTTTTTTTTGAGACAGGGTCTCGCTATGCAGTTCAGGCTGGCCTTGAGCTCAGTTTGTAGCCCAGGCTGGTCTCAAACTCGAAATGATCCTCCTGCCTCAGCCTCCCAAGTGTTGGGATTACAGGCGTGCACCACCATGCCCAGCTTCAGCCTTATTCTTACTGGGCTTTGTCCTCTTTCTTCATATGGGCTACTGGAGTAACCTCTCTGAAACCTATTCCTCAGGTTTGTGTAATTTATTGCATTGTATTTGATCATGTGCTTAGCCAAGTCTGTAGTCATCACCGGACTGCGAACTCCTTGAGGGCAGGAATTGAGTCTTATTCATTAGAACACTGGTGTGGTTGGGCAGGGTTGCTTTTCACCTCGTTCTTAGCTCCTCTAATCTAGCTGGTTCCTCAGTCGAAGGACACCTGCAGTAGGTACGGGACTCACTTCCTAAAGTTGCAACAAACCGGGATCCTCATTTCTTTTTTTCCCGTTGCTCTTCTTCAACTCCAGTCTGGGCTGGCAAATACCCTGAAGGCCCCTTGGGAGCTTTCTCCACCAATTGTGCGCCAGCAATGAGTGCTACTTTACTCCAATGAAGAAAGGTGCCCTGTGCAGTAGGGCGTCTTTCCTCCGGTTCGAAAGTAGGCGGGGGTGGGAGAGCAAAGCTCCACAGCCCCTAAAGAATGGCGAGGCCGCCGCAGCCAAAAGCTGGAGCGCCGCGATCCTAGCAGAGCTAGGGTTCCCCTTGGCCCCGCCTCCTCCGCTGAGCCCGACCCATTTTAGGGCGGGCCCTCCCTCCTCAGCCAATTCTGGAAGCCGAACCCTGGCGGTTTGTACTCTTTCTTTCCAATGAGAAAAAAAGGAAGCAGCTTGGTCCGGATGACCAATCCGAGGAGGTGGCGCTTGGTTGTCAGGCAGGTTTGCAAGAGTTCGGGCCAATGGGCGGCGCCGGCGCCGCTCGACCCGGGCGCAGCGCGCAGGCGGCGGCGGAGGGACGCCGAG